GAATAAACCTCTCAGTAGCTGTATTGCAAGCCATCATGCCCAAAAAAGGGGGGGGGGAGGTGGGAGGGAGGGAGGTAAAGAGGGAGAGACAGACAAACAGAGAGAGACAGACAGAGAGACACACAGAGAGAGAGGTGTAGAGGCAGCTGGTGGGAGGTAGAGGGACTGGGGACATTGGTGGTGGGAAATGTACAGTGGTGGAGGGATGGGTGTTGGAACATTGTATGACTGAAACCCAAGCACGAATAGCTTTGTAACTGTGCATCTCACAGTGATTCAATTAAAAGCAATGTGGTGCTCAAAAAAGTGAGCAGAGTTAACCAATGTATAAATGCCTTTTGAGGGGTTGGAAGGGTGGTAGGGTGAGGACACTGCTACTACCATCTCCTAGTTGGAAGTCAGAGTCAGAAAGTGCAGGCAGTGTGATGCTGGAGCTGGACCAAGGGCTCTTGGAATCTTATTGTTACGTTTTTCAGCTAACTGACATCAAGTTAATGATGTGAACTTATCTACGATGAGAGTATTTACACCACAGAAATGGGCAAACGCTACAAATTAGGGCTTCTCTGGAGCCCATTACTAAGCATTTAGCAGCACACTAAAGAACCAAGACTATCTATGAATCCCACAGAAGGGAAATCAAAGGAACCCTTAAAGACTACAGATAAGTTAGAGACTTCACCTTTGTGCCACTGCTGAGAGGACCTGGTCAACAGTTCCTTAGGATAATTGCATCTTCTCCAACAAAGGCTGGCACAGAGCAGCCCAAGCTGACTGGTATCCCATCGTAACATTCTGGATTGGTCTTAGTCCTTTAACTCCTTGGACTGATGGTTTTCAACCTAACCTGAGGACCTTTGAATTGGGGGCATTACTCAGAGGTTAAGAAATCAGATCCCTTTAGGAATATTTATAATGACATCCAGGTAGAATCTGAATGAATCATTTAACTTCTGTTTTTCAACCTATTTACAAAGAGACGTGACCTGAGATGGCCATAGTTTGAAATACAAAGAATGGACTACAGGGACCTGGCCTTTGGGTGAAATGCAGGAAAGCTATATTTTGCACTGTCTTATGGACTGTGACCATTGTGATGAAACTACCAGTTACCATTTCCTTAGATTAGTGACAAGTCAGTCCAGCCAAGAAAGTTGTAGGAGAGTCTCTAAAACTGTCTATACTGCCAAGTACCATAATGACATAAAGAAACAGATCTGATACTAAGTGCATGAGAAGCTATAAGCATTCAGTTACTTTTGGTCAAAATGGTATTTATAATTTTACTATACATTGTTGGTGCCCAACATGGGAGTGACTGGGGGAATATTTTCAAGCTGGGCTTACCCCAGGATATTTTGAGTCAAAGGTCTCGGCTGGGGGCAAGAACTGTATTTTAAGGAGCCCCTCCTGGCACCCAGCTTTGATTGCTGGCAGATCAGCAGCATAATGCAGATCCAAGCCCCCTAACATCTCTGTAACTTCAAATTAGAGGCAGTTATTCTGCTGCAGGCTGTGATCTCACTGGCATCAATAAGAAAATGAGCTTCACTAAGGATCGCAATGGATTCAAACACATATATGTCTTCACTAATAAACCATAACAATACAAAGTAATTTTAAGAGACACCGAATAACACGGTAATAACCACATTTAAAAATGTTTCCCATTTCAAGTGTCAATAATCAGGAAGAGAGACACTCAGAAACTCTTCCACATCAATTTTCCATCCTTGAGAATACCCAGGTGAGTCCTGGTATTCATGCTGGTGGATAACTGGAGGTACAGGCACAAGGAAGCTGAGGAAAACTCTCCTTGTGTGTGCTGCCTGGGAGTGCCAGGGTCAGGTCCCTGGTATCAAGGATCCAGACAGATGACACTGGAGTCACAGTCAGCACTTCTGGGCACACAGCACTACTAAGCACACAGCACTGTACAATGATCGAGGACATCATGGACAGAGATAGTGGAAGTAGCAATGTGACCACTGAATATGGGAGTCTTGCTGTGTATGAGGGATTCTTGAACCCACCTTCTAACTCTGTCTCCCTGGGTGTTACATGTCTGCACATGACATTCCCTGGGAGAGACCAATGAAAACTAGCAGGTCAGCATTAAGCACGCTAAGTGTTTGTGGGCTTTTCCCCTGGGCAGCTGACCTGGTCATTTGTGTTGGTGTTGTATGCGGATAGCCTGGGGGACCTTATGATGAAATTGGTTCCAGTAGCTGAGGATGAACTCTGTGGTGAATATCCTAAAAAATAGGAGACACTTACCCTTGAACTAATAGAGAGAAGAAGGGCTCTGCAAAAGCCAGGGGTAGGTTTCGCAGCGGAAGCAGGAAGTGGTGGTGGGGAAACAGGGGTCTCCTCTGCCCAACTCTCTCCTTTTGAACAACAGGTCCAGGTATTCTGGTTATACTGCTGCCTTTCTAATCAGGAAGCCCACTACCTCCTTTTACAATCATGATGATGGTGATGAAAGTTTAATTTTTGGATCTGTCTTTAAAATCAGGGCTTGTAGGAACTGGGACAATAGTACAAGGGACAGGGCCTTGTATGCAGTCGACCTGGGTTCAATCCCCAGCATCCCACATGGTTCCTCAACCAACCAGGAGTGATCCATGAATGTAGTGCCAAGTGTGGGCCCCCCAAACAAACAAGCAAACAACAACAACAACAAACTGGGCTTATGTATGATCACCAAGTGTCTATAATCTACGCTTGTAGGCAAAGGTACAATAATAAAAACACCGACAGTAAAAGTTCCTAAAACTGAGACAAAAGATTCCCACATAAAACTTACACGTTTTGCAAATAGGAGAAATAATAGAAGTAATTTGGAAATATATGAAGAATGATGATAATTGTGACTGGTAGGGAGGATTTGAAATTGGCTTGAGATTTTTTTTTTAAAGTGAGGTGGTCTTAAAACCACATCAACTTCTGGATCAGTTGAGTCTGCGGGTCAGCTCCAGGAGGTCTTGCTTAGAGGAAAATGGGTTGATGCTGATCACCAAGTTCTTGAAGTGCTGGGAGAAAAAAATCTTTCCTCAACATGCAGAGTCCTCATGAATGTGATAGACACCGCTGAGATGTGGGATAGTTCTCTCTCTTTAAAGTTAAGATGGGACCCAAGAGTGAGATAAGCTTTAAGAAATATTCCTGAACTGGGCGGGGTGGGGGAGAAACTAACTGAAGCTTGGCATGAGGATGAGCTTAAACTAAATGGTCCACCACAGAACAATGGGCTAATTTGAGGGATTCGGCCTTTTGCTATTTTAGCCTGCCTGGTTCAAAGTGTCTGTGCATTTATTTATATTTAGTGAAGCTTAATGGGCACACTGGGATTAAAACTCCAGAGTCAGAATCTGGCCCACGTAACATTGGCATTGATATCACTTAGCTGTAACCAAGTGAACTAAGTGCTTAGGAAGAGCCAACTAGACACTCCTGTCACTCATCCATCTCCAGTGGTCCTGACAGCACAGCAGGAGAAGTGTGGCCCTCTCCTCTTTAAAGTGACAGGGAACAGTTCTGATGTGGTTACAATGTCCATCAAGTCATACCACTGAATTTAAAAAGTTTTGAATCTCTTCCTTTCTAAATATCTCGAGTATCTGGCTGGTTTCATGTTTCCTATTCCAAAACATTCACTACCATTTCTTTTCATCTCTTTGGGCAATGGTCAGCGGTCAGATGTTGGAAGGCACGACACAACTAGTAACAGGAAAACTGAGCCTGTCTAGTTTCCCTTTCACAAATTAGTATCTAGCTCCATATAAGCTCCTCTGATTAGCTTTCCGGGAAAAACAAAACCAGAATAGGATGCTCCTCTTGAGGTCCTGGTGGAACATATGGACTCACTCTTCCCTTACTGTACATTTCCTTATTATCAGGGTGGGGGATGACCATTCCTCTCCAAAGGTGGTCAGTGAGCCAATGACTGAACGAACTCCAGCCATGATTTTTAACTAGTCTCTGTAACATTGAAAACAATTTAGATGTGATTTCTGGAAAAGAACAAGCCACCCTACCTAAATGCATAACAAATGTGCTTGACTGGCATTTGGAAAGAAGAAACTCTTATTAAAATTTAACATCCACTTGGCCAGACTTTGGGCTGAACTGGAAAGAACAAAGTGCTACTCAGTGAAAAGCCAGGGATGAGAGTGATGTAATTCCTATTCCTCAGGCTGAAATAATGAAAAAGAGAATAGCCGACTAATTCTATTAGGGTAGGTCGACACACCTCAAATTCCAAGGGTTACTCAGTACCAAATCTTGCCACAGCCCAATGGGTGTTCCTTGAGAAACACTTTATCGGCATCTGGATATTCCCAGTTTCAATGGAAATGAGGATTATCCAGCATTTACAACTGGCTGAAAAAGAACAGTTTGGAGCAGCACTGGTGGACACAATGGTAACCTGAAGGTAGCCTCAACTTAACATTCTGCAAGTGGTATCTGAGCCTGGCCAACCTCAATGATTCCATAATTTCCCAACCCTCCTGATTCTCAAAGGACAAACATGGTTATAACACACTGTGGTAGACAGGACTCTCTGATACCATCCATTCTCCTTCTTGTTCCTCGCTCTGTCCCAGGAGCTTAGGTCAATCCATTGCCTATACAACCAGAGGGAATTCCTAGTGCCAGGCTTGGGTTGGAATGATGGGTGGCACTAAACCCAGGCCGGAATGCCATCACCCTCATAGATAAAGCAACAAAATGATTTGCACTGATAACAGTTGTGTCAAGAGACTGGAAGCTACCCACTGCATCGACCTGCTAAGTGACAGGGAAAGATACATGGGATTTTATGCCACTCACCACAAAGGGACTAGAGGCATTTCTTATTGTCTAGGAGGCATTTCTTACCAGTCGGGGATCTATCATGATTTGCTTGTCATGAAACATCAAAGATCACCCAGAGCCTTGAACACATCAAGTACAGAGGCAACAACAAGCAAGCAAAGCTAATTCCACAGGACTCCTAGCCAATTCCTCAACCGCATCATGGTGGGGCGAGAGAAGAGATGAAGCTAGACAGGAGTGAGGAAGAGTGAGACAGCTGGAAGATGCAAACCGATTGTGTGTGCATTTCCATTGTGAAGAGTCGGATCTTACCCAAGCGAAGTTGACATCCTGCCCAAATTGGCTAGAAGCCTCCGAGGAGGAGGAGGAGGTCTATCTCTGCACAAAGATGCAGAGACCTCAGCTCTGGTCCTCATTTAAAAAAGTGGGAGACAGTTTATTATTAAAATACAAACATGAAAATACTTCCATTTCGCTAGCAGCATGGCTCCAAACGCAACACGCTGCGTATCCATCCAGCGTGAGCCGCGTGGCTCCCATGCTTCTGTCCTGCTTAGACCCGCAAAAGAGTCGTGAGTACAAAAGGGGGAGAGGAGATCGCTCTCCTCGGAAAGGGCAGACGGTCCTTCTAAGAATGTCTAAGGTTCTGATCTGAAGACGACTCAATTTGATTTGGGGCACTTTTTAGACAGCCGTTTGGCACTTTCTGTTGGAGTTCTTAGGCACAGTGAGACAGAGACAGCTTGGCGAGCCCTTCCTCATTCATCCTGTACAGCAGCTGAAACTCAACCGGCAGCTGGTGGGACTCCTGCCATTTGGTGGTGAATTTGGTTCCTTTCTTGTCATAGTAATGGTACGGAAGCTCTTCCTTTGTGTTGGGGTCAAATCCAAAAGGCCAAAATCCATACAAGTGGATCTCTTCGCATATTGCTGACGCAAGGGTGTATACAAGGATACCTGTGCTCAGTCGTTTGGGTGACAAATGTTTGTTTTTCCAGTACCTGTGGGATAATAAGTACAGGTGCATTCAGAGGCCTGGGTCACAGCTGTCAATCACAGTGATCAGCCTGGGGGAGTGGAGGGAGGGAGATGTCCACAGACCTTTACAATACTTTCCTGAATCTCTTAGCCCATGCAACACCTCTGGGCAAGGCTGGCTCCTCAACAGTCAAATGCGTAAAATGGAGACGGGGGCCTCTCTAACAACAAGACTCAGGTATCCCAAGGGGGTGGTAACAGATGATTTAACCTAAGGCCAGACCCTCTTGAGCATACAATTCCAGTGCTTGCACAGAGCCAGTCCTGCCCCTTTGTGGGGTTGTGTCCTCCATTGGGTTTCTAAGCCCATGGTGATGCCATGAAGGTCACCCAGGAGAGGACCATCCACACAGGCTAAGTCCCCTGTAGCCCCCTTATCAAACTTACACATTCAGTCTTTTCAGGTTTGGAAAGATTGGGGGGAAGGCTATTTTACTTTCATGGTCCTCTTGTGAAAAAATGCAGTGATCTCTCCTTAGCCTTTCAGTTAGAGGTCTCCAAGCCCTTCCTCACATACCACAACCTAGGAAAAGTACTTATATGTGGTCTGAATTTCTTTTTTAAAAAAAGGCTACATGAGGATCATGCTTTCTTTCCTATTTAGATATGGTCCTGGAGCCTTCCTAGCTACACTGTTGAACATTTGATACTGCTATGGGTGCTTGTTTATTTTCACTGGCTATACATGCAGAAACAACTGTATGGGAATAAGGTTTCTATGGACGGGATACCGATGGAGTTCTCATCGACCCTTCGGGTTTGGTTCAGGTTGGAGTGGCAGGGGGTATTCTAGGTAATGCTCTCAGCCAGCTCTGAGGGCCTGTCCTGAAGTTTCCAAGCACTCATATTCCTCCTTCACTACTCCAGGATTGCCAAGACGAAGACCTCCTTGTCAGCTGAAATCTTAAAACTCCCATCTCACTCCAGCCAATCTTACAGAAGGCATTAGACTGACTTCTGAAATTTTGAGTTCAGCTGAGCATCTTAGAGCAGGAGGTTGAGGTCAAATGACCACAGGGCAACCTGGAAGGAGGCCTGGTGTTTCATTCTGTTTCTACCCTTTTGGGGGGGACACTGACTGGGGGTCAATAACTGCTAACTCTTGCCTTGTAAGCTTTTTCACAAGGCAAGCACCTCACCGAGTGTATAGTCTCTCAGGCCCTGAGATGAGGCATTTGAAGCAAAAGGAAAGGGTGTGTGTGTGGTGGGGGGGAGAACCTTGCTTTAGAAAACGCTCTGGATTATGGCTTCATGTCTGAGTCATTTGGGCAGTTACCTGAAAATTTCAAAATTTCCCTCCCTGACCAAAGTTACCTTAACGTGTCTTCCAACAGAGTCCAAGCAATAGTATTTCTTAAAGCTCTGCAGTGATTCTAAAGTGCAGCTAGAATTCAGGCTCATCAAACTCAATTGGAAACTTTGTCTCTCTGGCCAACCTGTCTATCAAAGGCCAGGCATAAGAACAAGCTCATAAAATCTCCTTGCATAGGTTTTGGCATTCAAATCTTAAATTATAAAGACAGATTATACAATCTGTGATTTATGTAGATGGTTTATTAGTCCTAGACATCTACAAAATATTCAAACGTCAAATAAAAAGGAAGACTTTTAAAAGTCTTCCTTTCAAATTCATCTTCTTTAAAATACCATTTTATCTAATTTAGCCATGGATATTATTGGGAGATAGCTTTAGAATGAAAATTCTTGTCTTAATGTTTTGTTGCCACACCCAGCAGTGTTCAGGACTTACTCCTCACTCTCTACTCAGGAATCATTCTGGTGGGCTTGTGGGGCGATCTGGGATTCCTGGGATTGAACCTGGGTTGACTGCCACATGCAAGGCAAGTGTACTACCCACTGTATTACCACTAAGCCCCTCGAGTTATTGATCTGTGGTGACGTTTATGATTTCTGGTTACGTTCCGCATCAAGGAAAGTAAGAGGGGATGAAGAGGGAAGACCAATGAAATAACAGCCCCTTCATTTGGGAGTTGGTAGACTAAATTCCTTACCTAGAATTTCTTGCTTACAATGACTCATTCATTGACAGTACATAAAGTGTGCCCTAAAAACTAAGCTAACTAGAGAGCTAGCTCAGGGTTTGTTCCCTGGCACTACATGGTTTCCTGAGCACTACCAGGAGTGACTCTCAAAGGTCCAATTTGGAGCAGATTCTAAACATTACTGAGTGAAGCCCCTCCCCAGCAAATAAACCCCCATACAAATCCCAAAAGCAACAGCTAAGCTAACTGGATAGCTCCTACCCCCAAGAGATTACACTAATGATTTGCCATCTGGTAGGGTATGCTTATAGGCAATAAAATATACACACCTGTTGACATGTTGCATTATGTTTCCAGGCCAAGCCAACTGGACCTTTAACTGACCTCTGTGTTCAACAAAAAAGTCAACTAATGTCCTGGTAACAGTTGCTGAAGTGTGGAAGAAAAATGCAGGGATCCAGAGAATAGCCCCGTCAAGCTTTTTTAAACCGAGGAAAAAGTTGTTGCGATCCTGAATAGTCAAAAGATTGTTGTAATATTTTTCCAGGATGCTGGGGTTGAAGGTGGTAAGGTTGGTTTTCCTTCCAACATCTCTCTGATAAGCCTCCGTAGGGGCAAAATTGCAACGGAAAACAAAATCTGACTTGTCTATTTCTTGTCCACACCGGCTCCCTGTGAGGATCCCACTATTGCCAACCACAGCACAGATATTGTAATGCTTATTCACAATGGGTGATACATCTGGGAGCAGTGACCGGAAGTTATTGCTAATAGAGAAAACATATTTATGGCTGGAATAATCATAGTGCATCAGTTGTCCAACCCGAACACTACTCTTGGTCAAAGAAAAATTTTTTATGATATCGACATGCCGAAGAATTTCTTGCCTAAAATAGAAAGAAATTCATTAAATTGCATCCCATTCAAAAGAATTGATTTTCCATTTTATGTCTTATGTTCCCATTTCATTTAGACAAGAATCGCAGACACACTAAACCTGAGATTAGACCCTCTTTGGTCTGCTTTAGAACCTACAGACATGCTTTCCTCTTCTTCTAGTCAAGGTTTGTAAATGTTGCAATTTAGAGTTTGAGCTGCCATCCATCGGTTTTCTGCTCTAAGTGAAAAGTCTATTTGTTGGGGGGAGGGTTGCAGGGGGCGGAGGGACATAGAACAAACTGTCAGAAAATACGAGGAGAAAATTGACACAGGCACTAAAGAGCTCACATTAATGCACTGCCATTGGGAACTCAAGAGTCTGTAACTAGGCACTACTTGTTTGCTACTGGCTTCCAGTGTTCAAGGCCTATCAAATATCTCTGGTGTCCAAATAAGAGTCAAATAGATGTGAGTCAGTATTGTACTATCTATTATTAAAACATGAAAATGGTGCTAGCAGTGGGTGTAGCTGAATATTTAATAGAAATGAGATGATAATCTCATTAAGGACCTTTAAATAATGGAACAGGGATTTTTAAAATTTTTGATTATATAAAAGCACAATTTAGGCAGGGAAATCTAATCCTCAGCAAAAGAAGCAGTGGTAAGTCCTGAAAAATGTGTGTATATTCTAAGAACTCGGAGGATAAACAGGCAGAGGGGATACTTAGCACTAATTTCATTTTGCTTTCATGCTGAGCTCCAAGTAAAATTACATATGTCTTCTTAAAGCCTCAGCTCTTGGAAACATTTAAGAAAACCAGAAGCACGTTACTTTGCCACTAGAATCATTCAACGCTCAGAAATCATATTTGAATGACTGCTTATTTTGTCTCAAATCAGCAGGTCTTTACATAGCATCACTTTACCTGAAATTGTATTGAAATTTCTTCTTTTGTGGAAGTATAGAGCAACACAAATGGAAGGCTTTAATCTAGAATTTTAATCCAGTCATGTTCTTTTCAAGTTCTTACAACCAAGATAAGGTAAATTTAAATGGAACTTGGAAAATTAATGAAAAAAATCACCTAATAAATGGATAAGAGAGGGGGTATTTTGAAAGGAACATGCTGTTCTAGCGGGCTATTTCAATCACATAGTATAGAGTGAGAATATTTTTACGAAGTTAGAATTATGTTTTGGGAAAAGGTATTATTTGTTTACCTAAGAACATTTTCTAGGTTGTCTGTACAACTCACCTTGGATTAAAATCCCAAAAGTTAAAAATGAACACTTCTAGAGTTTTTAAGCATAAACCAGTTTTTGTCATAGACTAAATTCTAATTGAGCAGTGCTAAGTTGTTTTAAATCACCATCACCCTTTTCAAGTGACATTCTTGTCATACTATAGGTACTAAATTTACTGGAATTCCACACTTTGAAATAAGAGAAGATGCACCAACTAGGGATACTAGGATCAGCACACAGTTCCCTGCAATGGTAAAGGCGGTATATGTAAAAGAAGTATTTCCACTCCTAATGAGTACACTAGATGGCTCACATTGCATTTAGCAGCATGGTCCGCACCCCCCCCCCCCCCCCCCACCCAGCATGGAGGAGTGAGGGCTTCTCTAAGCCCTCAGGCTAAGGAGAATCACTGAGAATGAATTCCAAGGACTAACCCTTTCTTCCCTCACTTAGAAAACCAACCAACTAACCAACCAACCCACCCTAAAGTCGCCCCCACCCCACTTCGATAGACTCTTTTTCCTTCTTGTATATAAGAGGGTGCTCTGAGAAAACGAAGGATGAGGTTATGTAGCTTTGGTCAGATGTTAAAAAACTACCAAGGTTTCTGATAGAAACAAACAGGCAAAAGCATATCCAGATGCCTGCCCAAAATCTAGGCAGGATTTCCACTGGTCTTTGGACAGAGATCGTGTTGGGTGTGTGTTTCAATGAGATAATAATATTTGATTGTTTTCAAGCCCCCTCCAATCCCACCCCCTCACCCTTCGGTAGGCGACTGGAAAATGTATCGGTGGTCTTTTCGCAATGAATTTTGTTTGTTTTTGTTTTGACAGATGGCTTTGGCAGGAGAGCCGGACTTGCTAGCTGTAAATCAGGGCAGAAAGTCTCCTTTCCCCCCTTCCAATTGATCTTCCCGATGCTTTCTCTTTCTGGGAAGACACTCCGCACGCACGTAGAAAAGCTTCCAATCAGGCCCAGCACCCAATGCAAAACTACACCTGGGCTGTGTGCTGGGGGTGGGGTCAGACTTTGGTGGCTTCGGGTCATCTGTTTGGCTTTGAGCTGCAGAATGCAAAACGCACCTCTGGGGGCTCTTTCTCCCCCACCCCGCCTAGCCTACCTTTGATGTAAAAACGCGGTCCGATTAAAGGTCCACTTAGGTTTCTCCTGGCGTTCGTGGCTCAGAGAATTCGAAATGGGTACAAATGACGGGTCTAGAAACTTCAAGGCAAACTGGGACCTGGAGAGGAGCGTGAGCACAGACAGACAAGCGCGCTGGCCGGGCGGCTGCCGGAGGAGCCATTTGAGCTCGGCGGCCGCGCGCGCACAGGCCCAGGTGCGGCCCGCGGGCCCCCGGGACGCCCCGCCGAGGCCTGGGCTGCAGCCGCGCGCCCCTCGGGTGCCCCGGGGAGGCCGGGGGGGCCCCGGGGAGTCCCGGCGGGCGCACGGGCCACCCCTCGCGGTGCCCAAGCGACCTTAAAATGGCCGTCGCGCGCCGAGCCGGGGCGTCAGCACCGCGGACAGCGCCAGCGCCACCGAGTCGGTTGCGCGGATGCAGGAGGGACCGGGATGGGGGGGGGGGGATGCTCCCTCCGGCCCGCACCACTGCCCCCCACACTCCCCGCCGTTCCCGCGCCGCGCCCCGCCCCCATCCCCACCGGGGTGGTCGGGGAGGAGGACGACCCCCATCCGGGAGGCGCCCGCCGACTGCAACGGTCCAAGGCTCGGCACCTCCCGGCCCGCCGGGGTCGGTCGGGAGTGGGGGGCAGTTGCTGGGCTCTCGGGTCCCGCGCAAGGCCCTGCTCTAGGGGGGCTCTGCTTGAGCTGCGCCTCCCCCACTCCCCCTCCCCTGTCACCACCTCGCGGAGGGGGCTCGCACCCGGGGCCGGGGGAACCTCGTTTCCCCCGCAGCGCGCGCGGGGAGTGGTGGTGGGGGGCGGGGGGATTGTAGCGATCCCGGGCAGGGGGCGGGGGTGGGCGGTGCGGGGGAGCGAGGCCGAGTCCCCCCCACTCCCCATCCTCGGGGGCTGCAGGGGACACCGGCGCGCATCCTGGGCGGGGGCAGCGCCGCGGGAGGGGCGCGGGGAGGGGACAGGCGCCTGCGCCATGACTTCGCGCTGGACCGGCCGAGCCCCAGGCGCCCAGGCTGCGGACAGGGCGCGGGGAAGGCGCGATCGCGCGAGTGTCCACCTCCCTCCGCCCCCCCCCCAACACACACATACACACACACACACACACACACGCACGCACAGGCACACACACACCCTCTGCCTCTCAGAGATGGGGGAAGGGACGCGGAACACGAGACTCAAGCATGCAATCACATCGATTCGGACAAAGGCTTGGGGGCTTCGGGTTCAACAATGATAATAATAAAAGGGACACGGGAGGGAAGCTCAGAGTGGCAGAACCACGCAATTCCCCGGCCCCAAACCCCTCCGGGAAGCCCAAGAGCCCCCTTCCCACCCTCCCCTACACCGCCCCCCCCCCCATAAACCAGACCCCCGAGGGCGCTCGAGCGGCGGCCCGCACTCACTTGAATCCCGCGTGGAACATGTACATTCGGGGCGCCCCCGGGCTGGCGTACTTGGGAGTGGTGAAGATGTTCTCCTTTTTCAGGGACACGTAGCTGATGAGCGAGAGGATCAGCAGGGCGACGCTGAGCATGACCAGCCCCAGCACACTGGCGACCCGGGCCATTTTGCAGTTTCTCATCCCGGGCCGCGCCGGGCTCGGGGAACGCGGGGAACGCGGTGCACGGAGCGGCCGGCCGCTCGCCGGCGTGTCAGCGCGTGTGAGTGTGAATGTGTGTGTTTGCGCGCGCGTGGCCGCGTGTGTGGCTGGGGGAGGGGGCCGGGGGGGGAGTCCGGGGAGCCGTGGGGTGGGGGGGGGCGGGGGAGGGCCCGGGCGGGAGCCCCGGAGGGCGGCGGGACCCCAGAGGCCACGGGGCGCGGGGCGGGCGGCGGGGCGGAAGGCGGAGGGTCTGCGCGGCGGGCGGCGGGCGGCGGGGCGGAGAGCGCGCAGCGACGTGCGTCCCCGGCCGCCGGCTCCCGGCTCCCCCGCGCGTTGCCGGCGAGGTTACCACCTCCTCCGCCGCCGCCTGCGAGATAAATGTGATTGGAATAACGTTACACTTCGATCTGAGCCCGGGATTTAATTAATGAACTCGGATCTCCCCAATAAGCGCGGGGAGGAGCGGGAGCGGGCGGTGGTGGAGGAAAGGGCCCAACGGCAGCAGGCGGCCTGCATCCGCGGAGCCCCGGGGCCCGCCGGAGGAGGACGGTGCAGGTTAGGAGGTGGCGGTGGCCTGGCCGAGGCCCACACGCACGCAACAGGCCCGAGCCGTGGTTACTCACACACACGCACACACACACTCATGCACACACATGAACGCACCCACAGACGTGTGCGCGCACAGAGGCACACGTGTTTGCGCACTCAGTTCTTCTCGACCCCCCCCCCATCCCCACGCACCCGAACCTTCACCTCCACATTGGCAACACGCATCCCACCTAGCAAGGAAGCACCAAAGAGGGAGCTGCCTCTGCCTGCGTTGGGAACCATTATGGACTCCATGGAATTTTCCAGAACCTCCCAGGCCCACTACACACTTGGCTGAGAGGGTGCATGACCTCTCTGTGAGATGAGCTGTCAGTGTGTAGGGCCTGGCCTGGGTAGCGGTGCCCCTCCCAGAAGCTGACACCCAGCTCGCAGCTGGCGTTGACCAAGCCTGAAGATTCAGATTCTGGGGTCTCCTCCTTTGGCCCTCGCTGTGGCCACACCTCGGCGCGGGGGTGGGGCAGACAGGAGACCTTCTAGATCTTCTTCCTGGACTGAGCCAGCCCAGGCACCACGTAAGAGAGAGAACTCCGGAAGATCGCCTCTTTGCCTCGGAACTCTTCGCTGTGTCAGTCAGAACATCTGTTACTGGTGTTAAGATTCATTGGAAAAGAAAATTAATCCCCTTTTTCCGCCCATCATTTCCTGTGCAGAGGGGAGCCTCAAACCCTTTGTACTGAGCTGATGTCCCCTCTAACCCCAGTGTGACTGTTGAGCATATTTCTGCTCCGGGGCATCCCAGAAGAGGACATCAGGGAGTTAAGTCTTTAAAGGACAAATGAGTCCCCTTTCCCCTTACCCTAGACCCCCTCCCCCCTCCCCCCATCCCACAATTGCAGAGATCATGGTCCAGGCTGCTGAGGACTCACTGGTGCCCACAGAGTTCTCCATGGTGACCAGGGGATAATGGATCTCAGTCACAGTTTCATGGTAAAGTATGGCCATGACCACTTCAAGCAGGAAGAAACTGGATTCAGAGAGGAGAAAGGACCAGTAGGAGCTAGTGTGGATTTGTTCCTTTTAGACTCAGAGGAACAGAAACCTTAATCTCCTCCTTGTGTCTTGTGGGTACCAAGGAAGAGAGGAAATTAGCCTCTTGGTAAAAGGTTATTTGGACCCAAGGTGGAGGGTGGGAACTGAATGATCTAATAGCTACCACCTGTTCGGGTCTGGAGCCTGGGGATCAGTGTGTGTGTGTGTGTGTGTGTGTGTGATGTGTGCCAGTGGGGGGTGTGGTGGCACATTCAGCCACCCTGTGGGGACAGCTGGAGAGGTCATCTCATTTTCTGTGTGTGTAGGGGATGTCATATCTGGTGGGCTCAAGGCCTACTCCTGAGTCTGCTCAGGCCACTCCTGATGATGCCATATATCATTAGAGTGATATAACATTAGAGTGATATACAAGGGGAGCATATTTGGTGCCAGGAATCCAATCTGGTTTGGCTGTGTGCAAGACAGCCTGACCCCTGGATTATCTCTCTGGTCTTCATTTCCAGGAGATCCCATGGTGCCTGCTTGGCTGGGGCACAGTATGACAGGAAGGAAGGGGACTTCCCTATGCTTTACTTTGGGTACTTGGGTTCCAGGCTAGGGAGAAGGCCCCTTTCCTGCGCTGACTACAGACGAAGTTTGTTCTTATCAGGGCTGGATGGATCAGTTGGCATTTCTATTTAAGGGATCTTGGTTAATGAAATTAAGCCATTTGCCTAAGCTAGGTGCGTCTCAGTGCTTGCCTCTTAGTACAGTGTTTCAGGCACTGTGTTTCAGGGAAGGACAGAACCTCCTGTTCTCTCCCTAGAAAGAACTGTTCAGAGCTACTTTGTACATACCAAGTGCTTGAGAGTACATGGATTTTTTTGTTTATTTTGGTCATATCTGGCAGTGCAGCAGAGCAGGTTGGGGGCCATATGTGATGGGGGCTGGCAGTTGAGGCCTGGTCAGTGTATCAATTTTTTAAAACATTAATGTCGAGAGGAGTAAATGACTTTTTTTCAAGTTTTTTTGTTTGTACCTCTATAAAAGGTATTTTGAGTAAATGTTCACATTTCAGATGTTTGCAACAATTATGTTCCTTGGAAGCTGAGGAATTACTCATTTCGCACCAAAAGACGAATGATTTCCTTAAAGCTCAGTGGAGCATCTCTATGTGAAAAGAATACAAGAACTCCAAATTGCCTTTTCTTTAGTGAATAAATAAAACATATTTGGAAAGCTGTTGTGAGGCTTTTTGGGGTGGTTCAGTCCCTAGGAAATAGTTTGAAAGGAGCTTTTATGTTCAATTGTATTATTCTTTTTTGCATAGAATTTTGACTTTTCAAATATTGGCAGGGATTTTTTTTTTCTGGAAGCAAAGGTATTATACTTGGAGAAGCTACTTGAGAAATTATCTTACAGTCAAGTTTCGGGCTATTATGTGTATTGTGTCTCTTTCTTAGGCTGACTGGGTGGAGGAAGTGGTCCCTGTGAAGAGCAGCTGCAGCAACTAACCTGGGTACCCCTGGGAGGTATCTTACAAGAAAATCTAATTTTAACCTTTATTTTGAGTTTGGGGCCTGTCTATCCTTGGTGCATCAGAAATTTTCACTCTTTGAGAGCTGAGAAAAAAAAATCTACTGTTTTGTTTGCATGTAATTCTAACAGCACAAAAATGCTACAATTTCCATGTCCTTTGAGAAAATGTACAACCTCTTGCTGCTTTATCGATGAGTATTGTTTCCTCCAAAGAAAGGGAGGGAGTCCTTGAGGGATGAATGGTTGAGTGTTCTTTTTCCTGAGCTCTGAACCCCTTGTCCCCACCTAAGGATAAATACCCCTATCCAAGATCTTAAAAAAAAATAATTTTATTTCAGGGCCCAACCTGGCAATGATGAAGGGTCACTCCTGGTGGTGCTTGGGGAACCATCTGTGGTGCCAGGGATGGAACTGGGGTTGGTTGCATACAAGACAAGTGTCTTAACTCCTATAATTACCACAATCCTAAACTACTATATCTCTGGCCCCTGAGAACGTTTGAGAGTCTTGTCACAGGACACAAAGCTTAGGAAGTTCCTGGACTTCCTAGGAAGGAAGGCAGTAGTCTCAGTTACTGGAAAGAGAGCTTGCACTATGCTGTGTTCTTTGAACTCCCTCTCTAACAGCTGTTCTTGCTCATAATATGCTCTACGAGAAAAACTGGCTGACACACAAGTGTCTGCTCCTCTGCGTAGGTACAGGAAAATGAGATGCAAGGGGGTCTAACATGAGACCATGACTGCTGACATTTAACTTCTGAACTTTGTGCCTTGGACACCAAGTCTCACTTTTGACTGTAACTTTACCTGCAAAGGGATCTGAAACGTGTTAAGATCAGGGTGTAACTAGCTTTGGCTGAGTGTATTTCTGGCTTCTTTGCGGGGTTGGGGTGTTTGCGTTGCACCTGGCTATGCTCTGGATCATTTCTGGCTCTGCACTTAGGGATCATTCTGGGTGGGGTTTAAGGAATCACATTTGGTGTTGGGGATCCACTGGGATCTGCCTCATGCAAGGAAAACCTTTTAACTCTCCCTACTCTGCATCTTTCTAGTTTTTTGAGGGGGGCGTAGTTTTGAGGCAAGTGAGGGGGTTGGGTGGAAGAGCAGAGAGCCCAGCAGGCAGACGCCTATAATGAGCACCTCCACCTTGAAGCGGAGTGGAAGAACTTGAGGAGAAGGAGGTAACTGATCTGCCCCGCCTCTCTCTGATGCTCACACCTACCACCAGGATCATTCCTAGCCAAATCCTGGCTTCTCTCCATCCTTGCTCTGAGCCCAAGCTGCTCATTAGGAAAAAAAAAATCAAAGAGACGTAACAGTTCTGTATGTGTTTTCCTTGAAAAAGAACTGTATCGCTGATATTTCTTAGCCAAAGGAAAACATCAAACCAAAGAGAGGGGAGAGTGTGTTGCAATGCTAATCTTCAACTCTGTGGCCATCTATGGTTCAAGACCGCCTCCCTGTAAGAGGGGCCCCACTGCACCCCGGGACCAGTGGGGAGAGAAGGTGGAGCAAGTCGCTTCATTTCTTGGTAACTTGGCACTGTCTCTTACAGAGATGCTTATCCAGGCAGCTGGAGCAGATGTCTAGATGGGACTAAATTCTACAGCAGGTTTGGGCTTTGATCTTTGACAAGTCTGCTCTATTTGCCAGGGGAATCAGGCTTTTCTGCTTCTGACACACATCTTGCCCTGATAGATTACTCTCAGTCCCCTGCCCCCGTCTTCTATGACAGCCAGGATGGACAAGACTGGGACCCTACATTTTCCCCCTTTAGAGCAGTGTTCTGCAACTGGAGTTTTAAGTGTGCTAAGCATTCGGCTTTTTTTTAAGGTCTTGGATTTGCGAGCTGATGGGACCTACTTCTGTTATAGTTCTAGTGCAAGGCAGGTTACGGGCAAGTGTGCGTCGCAAACAGCACGGGACACTCAGAGTGACTGAGCGCACTTGTCAAAGGACGTTGCCTTTGTGAGCTCAGGGATGCTGCTTGCACGGAGGTCTTTACTGCTGATAATCACTATCTTTAGGGCCATCTTTGGGGGGAAAACTGACAACTGTATAAATCTTACCTTTTTTATAGCACTTCAATCTCTTTTTTTTTCAAAGTGCTCTCACATCTATTATCCCATCTTGACCTCCCAAGGAAACTGCGAGTTGGGCACAGCAAGTATTTCTATTCTGATTTTACAGATAAGACACGAGAAGGTTAAATCACCCAGCAAGGTAGCAGGAGAGTGAGGAGAGGCATTCATGTCTGAGGGTGAAGACTGCTGGTCTCTGCTGAAAGCAAACTCCCCCAAAACCACATGTCTGCTTTTTCATTCTCTGCAACCTAGTTCTACTTCTGAAATCTCTTTATTTTAAAGCAGTGTTTCTCATCTCTCCCTGCTCATTAAATTGCCAGAGTTAAAAATGATACCGATGCCCAGGTCCCAGCCCAGACCAATCATAACGGCGGTGTAAGTAATTTCAGTGTATTCTGGGAATGCAATCTGGAAGGTGTTTCAGTGATTCCAACCCACAGTGAGACTCAAGTATGACAGTCGCTGTGACAGTTCAATGGCCTTTCCTTCTGTGCTTGTGTGGGACCACTGGACAATAGTGTCCTCTTTAACTCATTCCTCTCGGGGTCAGAGAGATATAGAACAGGGGCTAGGTACACATGCCTTGCATGTGAATGACCCTGGTGAGGTCCCTGGAACCACATGGTCCCTGGAACATGGCTGAGTAGAATCCCAGAGGCCCCCAAGCACTGCTTGGTGTAACCCTGCAGTTCCTGGAGAATCCCCAGCACCACTTCCTAAGGCAGTCAGTCTTTGGGAGGGGTCCCTGGTAGGGGGTTGGGGGCCCACCACTCCTCCACCACACCCTCACCAAACTCACCTCACTCCTCTTTTGGAATCCATGAAACAACACCCTCTCGGTACAAGATGAAATAGAATGGTTTCCTGGGTATCAGTTTTACTTGAAGAAGGCAACAAGATTTCTGTTTGAAAGTAAATATGGACAGAGTGTGAGATACAACACAGAAAAGCTTGTGTGTTCTGGAGGGAATGCATTTTGGCCGCAGTAGATCTTTTTATCTCTCTGCTCTCCTCCCAGGGGTCTGACTACCTGGTGTTCTGTGTTTGGGAAACAGCACAGCAGAACACTGGTCGGTTTGATGTGTTGTATCAGAGGCAGGAGACAAAGAGTGAGTACAGAGAAGCCAACAGGCCTGGCACACAGCCCAGGAATGGAAGTCGTGTGGAAATCTGACCCCCGGGTGTGCTGTCCCTGTCTCAGCTAGCAGCTCCTGTGTCTTGGTGTCACTTGCTTGAGTAGTTGGAACTAGGGAGAAGTTTCCACTGTGTCAGGGCCAGAGGCTTTTCTGAGTTGGCCTGGGAGGGGAAAACTCCTTTAGATGGGGCTGAGAAAGCTCACTGGGGGATCTGAGCAGAAGGGTGCTCTCAGTGTGGTGAGTTACTGAAATTTAGGGGCCAGATAGTGCAGTGGGTAGGACATTGGTCTGGCATATGGCCTCCCAGTTAGATTTCCAGAACTATGTATAATTCCCAAGCACCGCTGGGACTGATCCCTGAGCACAGAATCAGGAGTAACTCCTGAGCACAGCCAGGCATGGTCCCCAAAATGAAAAAGAAAGAATCACTGAAACTTAGACCATGAGGCTTGGCCCTCTGCCTGACTCCGTTGTTTGGATCCTGCCTCCCAGGGAGGCAATTGGCTGGCGCATGGCAGAAATGGATTCAAGATAACACCTTTCATTTTTCAAGTTAGAAACGAAATGTTTTATAGCAATCAGAGATCTTACTATGAGATCTACCATTTTAGAATAAATTCTGTTATTTATTTATCCATTCATCTACCACACCCTTTCCTTCGTGCCGTTTCCTCTGTAAAGGTGGTGTCATCGTTGCTGGGGGCTGCATTTGCTGTGGGGTCTGGGGGAATCACACATTTCTTTTTTCTTTTTCTTTTTTTTTTTTTTGTAGGGTTGAGGTGTTGCACCTTTGGTTGCTGTGCCTGCATATTTGGTTATGGAGCTCTGGGGCTCACACACATTTTTGTAGGATCCCAGGGATCTCACTTGTGTCTGGGGATCACACCCAGTGATGTGGGGTAATGCCAGGGATCTAATTTGTGCCTTTATGCATTCAAGACAGGGCTCCAGAAGGCTCTCTGCCACTGAGCTGTATTCTTGGGCTCCGAGTTCTACCATCTTTTTTGTATTGTGGGCCCCTTCCAAGCTGTGCTCAGTGTTTGCTCCACTCTCAGTTGTGTTCAGCCAACCAGGCCAGCCGGTCAATTTCAGGGCCCAGGCTGAGAGGCGACCCTGGCCCTGCAGTGCTCAGAAGACTGAGGGTCACCTCAGTGGTACTCGGCAATCTATAAGTCTGTACCCAGCAGGGCTCAAGGGACTAGTTGGAACACGGATCAGACTTGTGCCCTATTCCCAGTCTAGAATCTATCTTTTAAACTCATATTTAAGTGTACAGTATAGTATTATGATCATAGGCAGCGACTTGCAGTGGACCTCTGGGATTCATTCATCTTGCATAACTGAAATTTTACACTTGCTAATTAATATTCTCTTCTTTGTTCCTCTGAGTTTGAGTAATTTAACTTACTCACACAGGCAGATTCATGCCCTCCTGGTCATTCTGTGACGGGCTTATTTCACTTGGCAGAACACTTCAAGTGTCATTCATGCTGTTGCATGTGAAAGGATTTTCTTCTTATTAAAAGATGTGTTGAGCAGATACAGATCTGCTCTGGGATCTTGTGGATAGTGTGTAAGATTAGCATGCCAGTCACCACAGGCCTTTTAGTTTATGACTCTGTCTCTTTTACTTAACAGCTCAACTTGGTATATCACGACAGGCAGGCAGGTAGATAGCACAATAAGGTGCAGGAACAGAAACAAGGGAGAAAGACAACCCCTTCTATACAGAGGCCTGGGTTCATATTTATTACATATCCTGTCCATTACTTATTTCTGTTATCTGGTTGGTTATACCTTTTGAGATCAACTTATTGGAACAACAGATCTGGTGGCAAATGAGGGTGTGGGTGGTTATGGGACTGACTTGCACATATCTTTATATGGACATATAAACATTTTTATATGACAAGATGATGCCATCCCATTATGCAAATAATCTATAGAGGTTGACCAATTGGGTCACATATGTTAATTATGATGTATTAATTTGATCCTTCAGAGACTGGTCACTCCCTGCTCTTTTCCTCCATGATAGGTGGATCCCATTCCATTGTAGGTAGATATCACATTTCCTTCATTTATTGGTCAATGGGTATTTAGGTTGCTTCCAGATGTAGGCTTCTGTGAGTAGTAATGAAGAATGCTAATATCTTTTTTAGATTTGGATCTACTCTTTTGAATATACACTTAGAAGTGTATAACATAAAAACATGCAGTCATTATGTTTTTAATATTTGAGTTTTCCAAAGAGGCAGCATTATTTTATATTTCTATTGCCTGTACCAGGATTCTTTACATCCTTGACAACACTTGTCTCTTTCTTTTCTTACTATCAGCCATCCTAACAGATGTGAGATAAGATCCCATTGTGGTTTTGATTTGTAGTTCCTTGATGATTAGTGACATTTTGCATCTTTTCATGTACTTATGGGATATTTCAATCTTTTCTCTGGAAAAAAATTTATCCAGCTGTTAAACCTATTTTATTTATTTTAGTTTTATTGTTTATTTAAATTGAATCACCATGAGGTACAGCATTACAAAGTTGTTCATGATTGGGTTTTAGTCATGCAATGTTCCAAGACCCGTCCCTTCACCAGTGCACATTTTCCACCGCCAATGTCCCCAGTTTCCCTCCTGCTACACCCAGCCTGCCTCTATGACAGGCACTTTTCTTCTCTGTCTGTCTGTCTGTCTGTCTGTCTGTCTGTCTGTCTGTCTCTCCTTTTAGGCATTAGGATTTGCAATATAGGTTATTATGTGTATCCCTTTACTTTCTGCACACAGTTCTTACCCAGAGTGATCATTTCCAACTGTTCTTATAATAGTGGTCCCTTCTCTATCTTAACTGCCCTCCCCGCCCGCCCCTCACCCCACTTATGGCAGACTTCCAACCATGGACCAGTTTTCCTGGTCCCTGTTTCTAATCTTTAACCTATTTTAAAATCAAATTATTAGGCTTCTGGTTATTTAGCTTTTTTTTTTTTGCTATTTAGTTTAGGTGTTCTTGATATATTTTGAAAATTAGCTCATATCTTATTTGTGGTTTGCACATATATTCTCTTATTCTATCGGTATTTTTTTTCTTTCAATATTACTTTTTTTGCTGTGCAGAACTCCTTTGCTCCTCTTTGCTTTCCTTACCTGTATTTTTAGGGACATATCCATTAACTTTTTGTCAAACTCAGTACCTTATTGTCAAGACAAATTGAAACTGTTTGAAACTGTTTCTTGATGTTTTGTTCTAGGAGCTTTTTGGGGGGACAGGTTGGGCCACACTCAGCAGTGTTCAGATCTTACTCCTGGCTCTTTGCTCAGGTATCACTCTTAGTGGTGCTCAGGGGATCAAATTGGGGTTGGCTACATGCAAATTCGTAACCCTTGTATTATCTGACTCCTAGTATATGAGTTTTACTCTTTCTTTTCTTATTTTAAGTCTCTTATTCACTCTTATTTGCTTTAAATGTATGGTATCAGGTAAAGGTCCATTTTCATGCGTTTGCATGTAGATTTACAAATATCCTGGTACCACTTTTTGAAGGCATTATCATTCTGATTGTGTATTTTTGGTGTGGTTGTTAAAGTCATCACACCTTGAATTTTCAGTCCAGAACTGCTTGTATGCTTTTTAAAAAAAAATTTATATTTATTTTATTATTATTATTTTTTATTAGTGAAACACCATGAGATACAGTTATAGACTTACAAATTTTTGTGCTTGGGTTTCAGTTATACAATGATCAAGTACCCATCCCTCCACCAGCACCCATCCTCCATCACCATGGGTCCCAGCGTCCCTCCCACCCTTTATTTGGTGTTCTCTTCTCTATCTGAGCTTCCTTTACCCCTAGCACATGTGGTTGGCCTCCAAGTCATGGAGCAAAATTCTTGGTACTAATCTTAGCCACTCCTGGGTGTTAGTCTCCCATTTTGTTGCTTTATGTTTCCCAGATGAATGCAATCTTCCTGTGTCTATTCCACTCTTTCTGACTCATTTCGCTTAACATGATACCTTTCACATAGTACCACTTGTATGTGAATTTCATGACTTCATCTTTTCTAACAGCTACATAGTACTCCATTGTGTAAATGTACCAAAGTTTCTTTAATCGGTCATCTGTTCTCGGGCACTCAGGTTTTTTCCAGATTCTGGCTGTTGTAAAGAGTGCTGCAATGAACAAACTGAAAGGTCCTTCTGTTCGAACTAGGGCAGGCCTTATCAGAGTGATCAGAATTTCCTGAAATAGTCTAGTTAGGGATTTAACATAACAAAATAGTGACTAATACTAAAACAACAAAGATTTTTTTTTTAAACAATGTTGTAGAGAAAGACAAACCAGAAGACAGGTTGTTATATTCATTGTGGAAAAACCATCCAAATGTCATAATGTATACAATGGAAAGTCTTTGGTCGAGACCCTGGGTTCAATCTCAAGCAATGCAAAAACAAAGCATAAAAAAAGAAAAAAACACAGAATGTCTTTTCCTTTCTAAATTTTTAATTTAGATATGATGAGTTATAAATTTGTTTACAATAGGGTTTCAGGCACAGACTGGTTTCACCTTCAATCTCAGTATTCCTTGGCCCTATCCGTATACCAATGACCCCTAGGTTCCCTGCCTTTTAACTGACTACATTCCCTGTGTGTTTTACAATTTCTGGTTTCATTAGGTAACTTATCCCCTATCCATTGTTTGACCATTACTTTTGCTAAAGAATATTCTTTATTAGTTTGTTAAAATTGTTTTTAAAGACTTTTTTTTTGTTTTACAAAAATATCTATTAGCACAAACATTTGTAAGTCTACAACTGTACCTCATGGTGTTTCACTAATAAAAAATTAAAAAAATCTATTAGCAGCCCACATAGTCCTGAGAGAACTATCTTTGGTGGGTTGAGTGACCAGAGAGGGCAGGTTGGTGCAGGTACGAGCTCCTGCATGGCCTGGACATCAAGGTCCAGCTGGCTTCACTAAAACATCCATAGAGCTATGCCCTAGGATCACTGTTTCCACGCAGCATGGGAGTTGTCCACTATAGCTTAGGTTTTCTCAGGTGGAAGTGAGGTCTTGTTGATCCCCAGGAAAACAACTCAGTCCCAGCCAATCTCCACCTGGCTTAAGGCTCTTTGTTTTTTTGTTGCAGAAATGAATTTCCAGCAAAGACAGGTAATGAAGTAACTTCATTTAGGAAATTTGAGAAAGAGAAAGGGGGGGGGAGGGAGAGAGAGACAGAGAGAGATAGAGGAGAGAGAGACACACACACACAGAGAAACTGAGACAGAGACAGGGAGAGACAGAGAGATAGAAGTTGGAAATATGGTAGTTACATAAGACTAATGCCTCTTACAACATGAGCTCTATTGCCATATGGAGCAAAAAGAGCTTTTTAGGATGAGTATTGTAAAGGTTTGGAGATAATTTATCTTGCATTGTTGGATGGATCTAATGGAATCACAATGATGATACTCCCTTTTTTTTAATGGGGGAGGAACAGGAGGAAGGAAGGAGTGTCTAAGGCAGAAAAAGAAACAGGGTAAAGGACACTGAGAAGCAAAGGCAATGATGGAAACAGCCTGAGCTTGGAGGATGTTAAAGCTGTAACTTTCAAAATGGACTAAGATGGTCCTGAGTCAGGGAAGGCAGACAGCACCTAAGTGCCAATAAATAAATAAAAATAAGCAAGCAGGAGTCTTTTTCTAGCCACTGCCTGCTCCCAAGAGGGAAAGCAGTCCTGCTGACCCATTTCAGACCTCTGACCTCTACCACGATGACAGAATGTCTGTGTTGTTGAAGACATACTTTTGTGTGTGTGTGTGTGACTTGTTGAGCAGCTGTAGGAAACTAGTATGGGCCCTGCAGGTTAGACCTCCCTAGAAATGTTTCAAATTTAAAATGAGCCCAAACAAACCCTTGCTCCTGGAAATGAGAATGTCCAAGAAAGGGTGGACTTGTGGGTAGGAGAGAAGGAGGAGGCGGAATGATGGTAATATAAGGGATCAGGGAACTTGAAAACGAGTGGTGTAGAAGTGAGGTCATGACAACAAATGCCAAAACTGTAAGGGGCAATGCTATTGTAAACATGTGCCCCAACTATAGTAATCACATTTAAACAATGAGTTTGTGAAGGAGGCTGGGTGGGGCGTGAGAAGGAAACTTGGGACATTGGTGGAGGGATGTTGACAGTGGTGGTGGGTTTGGTGGTGGAACATTGTATGCCTGAAATTATATTATTAACAACATTGAAAATCATGTTGTGTAAATAAAAATTAAGAAATAAATATATAAAATGAGCCCAAAGGTTAAGTGCACAGCTCTGTTCACCATTAGATTTTCATCCTAGTAGGTGGGTCACCACCTTCAGATTATGGGTCAGGGCTGGAGCGATAGCACAGAGGGTAGGGCGTTTGCCTTGCATGCGGCCAACCTGGCTGACCCGAGTTTGATTCCTCCGCCCCTCTGAGAGAGCCTGGCAAGCTACTGAGAGTATCTCACCCACATGGCAAAGCCTGGCAAGCTACCCTGTGACGTATTCATTATGCCAAACGCAGTAACAACAAAGTCTCACAATGGAGACGTTACTGGGCCCACTCAAGCAAATCAATGAACAGCGGGAGGACAGTGCTACAGTGCAGTGCTAGGTGGGTCAGACCCTCACCCCCCAGTCCTGGCCCAGGGCTTTCTTGGCCATGATGAGGGTCCTCAGTAAGGCCATCGCTTTGGAATAAACACCCCCTACGAAGGCATTTTCCCGCTGGCTATTAGCCTGGGATGATGGTAGCACCAGATCAGGCTTCATATACTGAAACCAGGAAAGACACCGAGCAGGCCAAAAGGGTGAATTAAGAGAGTTTCAGCCCACTGATGGAGTGCCTAGTGGCCCTGGGCACTTCCGGGGAGAGGTCTGGCTGGTGGAGGAAGGCACTCACATCCCTGGGGAGGGGCCCAGTGAGGCCCTAGAGAGCTTCCATAGCAGCTCCTCTACCAACGGTGCTGATGAACAGTTTCAGTGGGAAACAAAGGGGCTTTTCCTTCCAACTCTTCAGAGACCACGATATGTCAGCAGCCTCCAGAGAGGCTACACGTAAATGAATCAGGGCTGGAAAGTGAAGGCTCCCATCCGTACCGAATGGCGGAAAGAGCTTGAGAAGCAGCGTCATTGATTTTTTTTTTTCTTTCTGTAATTGACACAGCATCTTGGTCTGCCTTCAGGCTTCAGAAGGAGAAAGGGAGGTGCCTGTGTACCCTGGGCTTCTCTGGTTAGAATTTAATCCCCCCCCATAAGCTTCTTTCCTCCCGTCATCTCCCTCTCCCTCTACCTCCTTTCAATCTCCCTTCTTTCTGTGTGATTCTTTTCTTTCTCTCTTTTTTCCTCCCCCAGCCCTAGTTTTTCTCCCTCTCTTTTATGTCCTTGTTAGAATTAAAAGCTCGGACAAGGAATACCACAGTACGAGGAAACCTATTTTCACGGGATGTTACATGGGGGATGTTAGGGGGGGAAAAAAAACTAAACCCAACCAGTGCATTCCATTTTTCATCCTGGCTCAAATCTTCTTTGGTCAGAAGCTCAATATCTGTATCTTTTTGTAGAAATGCTTGCCAGGCTCTCCGAGAGGGATAGAGGCTTTTGGGGCGGCCTCTAATCACCTTTGTAGGTGTTACCATGGTTCAAACAATATTTGAACCCTATCAAATATGGTATGGCAATTCTGGAAGATGGGTATATAGTGTCTTACAATGTGTTGCGCGGCCGCTTTGCGGCTGCATGGTCCGAAAAGTGTCCTGGAGCGTGGCGGCGGCTGGGTAGTGGAGGTAGTGGAGGTAGAAATATGTATCTACATATTTGTAGAAATATGTATCCTCACAGTTAGGGTATCTGAGGTCTGCTCTCTGGAGAGGCAAGCACAGAAGAGACCCGGGTACCCTTCAGGTGCTGCCTGAGGCCCACCTCAAGGAGATGAAAGGAGCACCACCTCCCATGAAGCAGATCATCCCCTCTCTCCCGTCCTGCAGTCCAGCTCAGGTGACCCAGCCTGGCTCCTGGCAGTGGAGTTGGCTGGGATTTCATATATGGGGAAGGCAATGTCTAGACAGAGAAATGGCAGAAGCATCTCTTTTTAAATTTTTTAAATTAAACCACCATGAATTACAAAAGTACAAACATATTTATGATTGAGTTTCAAATGTATATTTTCTAACACCAATCCCTTCACCAGTGTCTACTATCCTCCACCAATGTCCCCTGTTTCTGTCCCACCCAGCCTGCCTTGAGGCAGACATTTTTCCTCTCCTGCATTGTGTTCCCTTCCCTAACAAGTTCCCCTTGCCCCTGCCCCAGTGCTGAGCTTCCTCCTGAAGACCAGTTCTTCTGCTCTTTGTTTCTATTACCACTGGGCATTTGATTTCCCCCTATAGAATTTCTTTATATTCCACATACGAGTGAGGCCATTCTGGGTGTGTTCCTCTACCTCTTCCTGATTTCACTCAATATGGTCCATTCACCTTATAGTAAATTGCCTGGCCTTATTTTTTCTTAAAGCTGAGAAGAACTCCATGATGTATATATACCATAGGTTGTTTTTTTTTTTTTTTTTGCTTTTAGGGTCACACTTGGCGATGCTCAGGGGTTATTCCTGGCTTTGCCCTCAGGAATCACTCCTGGCGGTGCTCGAGGGACCATATGGGATGCTGGGAATGGAACCAGGGTCGGCTGTGTGCAAGGCAAATGCCCTACCCGCTGTGCTATTGCTCCAGCCCCTGCCATAGGTTTTTTTCCCCCATCCTCTCTTATGTTCAAAGCACCTCTTGAAAGTTTGCAGGGCAGCCATGGCTGGGTGGGGTGCTGCTTCTGCTCAAAGCTGGCTGGTCATGTCCAGGAGAGGACAAGGTGCTCTCCTCCCACCAGGGAAGTGTGGACTCTTCTCTGGAACTGCTGGGTGTGCCCCAGGGAGTCAGGGTTTGATGTGGGCAAAGCAGACCCTTAGATCCTCAGATAATCTCTTTGGACAAGATACACTTGCATAGATGTTCTCAGAGGGATGGAGCAAATCACAGCCTTCTAGTATAAAGCACTATATCAATACACAAAGGACTTGGTGGGGGTAGGGGCCAAGAAGTGTCATAGGTGCACTCAGGATGTTATGGGCTGTAAACATCCTTACCCTGTACAAAGTCTCTAGGGCATGGTGGTTTCAAGGAAGCCAAAGGAGCCCCAGGACTGTTTGGTCAACTCTAAAGAAGAAATAATGATTAGAGATGAAAGAAGACACTGAGATCAGGGTCCAGGAGGTGTTAAGGCATTTGGTTTTTATTTCAAAAACACTTGAAGGACTTTTTAGCAGCTTTAATGTGAGTGTGCATTTGGGTGGGGATGGGGAGAAAGGGAGAAAGAGAAAAAAGATAGAGAGAGACAAAAGAGAGAGAAAGTGAGAGACATAGAGACAGAGACAGAAAATCAAAAAAAGTCAGTGAGGGATCAGAAGAAGAGAAGGTTAGGCCATGTATAGAAATAAGCCAGTGGTCCAAGTAATAACTGGTGCTGACTTGGACTAGGAGGAACAGAGAAATTGATGTGATTCATTAATGTTTAAAGAGAAAATCATCTAGATTTGGTGATGAGCTGAAAGGGAATGGTAGAAAAAGCTCATAATGAAATGGATGGATGGAGTGCCACTGATGGTGTGGAGAAGGGGCAGATTTGGGGTAGGCAAGAATTTGTTATTACTCATGTTGGGTCTGATGGTTCTTTGAAAAATATAACTAGTAGACCGGAGGGATAGATGTGGCTGGCTGACCCTGATTCAAGTTTCTGGCATTAAATTTGGTCCCTAAGCTCTACCAGGAGTGACCCATGAGCACACAACCAGAAGAAAGTCGTGAGCACTACTGGGTATGGCCCCCAAATCATAACAAAATGACAGACCCAAGAAGTATCCTACCTTCAATTTCGAGCATTGCATGTGCAAAACCCTATCACCGACAGTACTGTAAATCACAATGATTAAAATTTAAAAAAATGTAATGGGAGATGTTCATCTAAATTCTCCATGTCTTCATGGCTCCTTCTACATCCAATTGAGAGCTACTCCCAACACAATTTCATTTGACCCCTGTTATATGTATGTGAGAAAATTGTTATGCTTACCTTTAGATGAGGAAATTGAGGCTCAGAATCATTCTGTTGCTGCCCAAGTTACACAGACAGAAATTTGTGGAGTTGGGATCCATTGATTTTTTTTTTGCCTCCTTCGCATGGGCTGCCTCTGATCTCCCATCCTACTTTCTCAGTCAGGGAGGCCAGTAGTGATGGACCTCGAAGACTGTATGCATGCATGCATGCATGCATGATGTCACAGAACTTCTTAAATGCTAATTACAGATACTGGTAGTGTCACATGCTTTTGTGTATGGCGAAGGTAAGGGTCACATCTTGAAGTATTGCTTTCAAGTTTCAAAATTCAAGAGGATTAGCATCTACCATTCGACAACACATTCATTTGTCACAATAGCTGTGGAATGATAGAAGTGGGTATCATGACCCCAATTTTATTGAAAAGTAAATGGGAGAAT